TTTTACAAATGAAAGTTTAAGTATTCCTAATCAGTTAATACACATTTAATGGTATTCACTTTAAATTCTGACTCAAAACAGCAAAATAGTAATTAGCCTTTGCATCCATTGTGCTTCAATATCATGAATATATATCTTCTATCATTTGTTTCATAAATTCGATAAAAAATTGTTATATCTTGTCTTCTTTGAAATATTAAAAGTATACAATGCGATTGGAATTTAAAAGGTGAGTTTGATTAAAGACTAAAGTGAAACTAATCTTAAGTGAAAGAAATATTCATCACTGACAGGTTGTCTATAAAATACTGGTTTTATGTTAATTTTCATTTTTACATCAATGATTAATTTCAAATTATTTATTTGTTATAAAATTCAGTAAAAAAAAATTTAATAAACCAGTCAACATCTGTATCTCTGTTTTAAACATGTTAAAGCCTTCTAGCAATAAATATGTGACAGCCATTAAAACCTTATGTTCTTTATAGCCTATCAATACAATACAATATGCTTTATTTAAAAACACTCTGTCGCATTGACATGTAAAACAAGAGGTAAATATATACAAAATACAATCACATATCAATATGTTAGATAAAACAAACTGGTAAACGCTTCTGTAAATCATGTAAATATGATAAAAGCAGCAAAAGGCATTGGAATTATGTAACAACTGATCTAAGAAACTTAAAATGAAATATTAATGGCCTATTATTAATATTTAATTACCAGTCCTGGAGACAAAACTGTGATCAATCCAATTAAACAGACATGGATGGTATGAAATTATGTAAATTATTGATTGATATAAATGGAAAATTGTGCTTGAAGGAGAGATACAGCATGTACAGAGCTTTATGTGTAATTCAGAGTACACTGACCAATATGTACTTCACCTTTCTTTATTAAGATGAGACCATTGTATGTCATGATTTCTAACATACAGTAAACATTCAAAATCCTCTCTCCCTCAACACAGATGCACTATCTGTTTTCTTTAATCTTCAGATATAAAATGTTTTATATACATGTGCTGGGAAAGTTAGCTCCAGGGTTTTGAAACATCTCAATATTTTTTTTTATAAATCATAATAAGTAAAAAAAAAAGAAGATTTGGTATGATTGCCAATGAGAAAACTCTCCACCAGAGACCAAATGACATAGAAGTTAACAACTATAGATCACCATACGGCCTTCAACAATGAACAAAACCCATACTGCATAGTCAGCCCTGTTAAAAGTACTAGAAAAGTTTTATGATTTGTGTCTGATAGTACATCATGGTAATGTGATGGTATATTGCTAGGATGTGATTCTATCTAAAATGATTTTCTTATAAATTGTGTTATGGATGTGATACTATAATTTCTAGAAACAAGTTGGTATTTCATAATTTCCTGTTTACTAGGATGATATAAGAAATTTCTGAGGAGAACACTGACATGTACAAAGAAAATGCAAAGCCTAGTGGAATTTTTATTGGACATTATAATACTATTTATGTAAATCTTTCAAAAGGATAACCTGACCTTAGTACTAATCTTTGACTAAGGTTAAGAAAAACATTTTAATGTTCTTACAATCTTGGTTTTCAAAAATACCAGTAGCTTTAATTTATTCTATATACCTTAATCTCATTTTAAAATACATTTATTTATTTTGCTGAACCTAACAAGCATTTTTCATTAGAGTGTAAATTAAAACCCAATTCACGATATTTTTCACCAAGACTACTAAATATTATATTCTTTTGGCCTGAAGTCATTCTGTAATCATTTTATGTAGTGATGCCTCCCACCCCACATTAAATAAAATCAATACACATATTTTCACAGTTTATTGAACACTGTTCTGCATCACTGACCACATCTGTTCTTTATGATTTAAGCCACAACAAAGACTCTTTATAATTTGTCAATAAATACATTGGACATACTGAGTTCACTTAAAGGTTGTATTTTACAATTTATATTTATTACTTAATTATTATTGTAGTTGGTCAAACAGAAGTGTAAACACAAAAATGTTCCTTTGCTGTAAGAAAAATGAGAGAAAGTATTTTATAAATGTGATTTTGAAGTGTCATTTAGGGATCATGTTTCATCTAGGTGTCACTTGTGGGTGTTTTGATAGACTGTTCTTAATTATGCTTGAAATATTCACTGCTGGACATTGAGCAGGTAACTACATATCATGCTGTAATGGTGAAGAAAAGGCATTAATATCAATTTTGTAACTTCAATGAAGCTCCATAGTTGGGAACATTCCCCTAGGCTCCACTCTAGAACCCCCTTAGGTTTCTGACATAGGACAAGTACATGTACATGCGAGTGATAAAACTAACTTTGTTGCTTTCTCATTCGGCTCTCCCCTAGAACCATCCTTAGGTTTCTGACATGGGACAAGTACATGTACATGCGAGTGATAAAACTAACTGTGTTGCTTTCTCATTCATATGTACTCCAGTTCCCTGTTTAATCATTTAGGTAGAATTTGATACACATTTTCTATTAAAGTTAACTGAAGTTGATACCTGTAGAGTATACCGTTAGCCTACAGCCAAACCAGTCAAGTTAACTTTAGTTGGTTTATTTACTTAGTAGGGGTCAGTATATCTCCTGGTCAAACTGAACAATGATTTATTGATAAGAATTCATAGATAAGACTGTCATGAAAAAAAAAAAAAAACTTAATGGCTGTTACCCTCTAGATGTTTTTTATTTAAGTTTTATGGAGTTGTTAGATTGCTGTTTCAGATCATTGACATAAATGGTTATTAAAGAAAGAAGGATATGTTAGGTTTAATAGTCCACATCTTCTGTTATTGTATATCTACTTAAACCACATAGACATAGAAATTATATTGAAACAAGTTTTTTGTTGAAACTTAAATAACATAAAATATCTTAAAATGCATGATAAATAATCACGTTTAAGAAATACATGTTACGCCCTTCACTCCACTTACACTTGTTTTCAGGGATATTACTGATTTAGAATATTAAAATTATTAAGGGTAGATAATACCTTGCAGTTATTTCATAGACTATGCTGCTAGGCCTGGAAAGAATTGAATTGGTATCTGAAAAGATTGATAAGACTCAATATATATATTGTTAGATAAATTATTTAAAAGTTTTTTTATCTTCAAATATTTCATATTCCTGAATGGCTGGACTTTTAATAATAAGAGAAAAGTTAACTAACCTATTCAATGTGTTCTCATAAGCAGATTTTTCTTTTGAAGAAATTATTTTTTATCTGGTTAAAAAAATTCAGAGGAATTCGGAATTTATTGAGCTTGTCAGAGTGTAGAGGGAGAGGAGGGGGTGGGCAAGATGGAAGGGTTGCTTGCATCAGGATATCTGATTTTTAGAATGATACCAGGCACTTTTCCACAGCATACTCTTTAACTATATAAGACTATTTCTACAGCAACAAAGTGTATATAACAACATAACAGTAGATCTTACTGTTGTCACTTTTACACCAAGTTGCCTTTAAATGTAATTAGATATCCTGCATTTATCATACTTTACAATAAAATATCAAATATCAAAGTGCTGAAAGGCCCTCTCCTAAAGTATTGAAATCTATCCTTTTGCCTTATCCACAATAACTTGGTGTAAAGTAGATACATCCAATTGGATTTGAACCTAATACTTACATTTATCCACATCTTCTATTAATCTTATAATTATAGTTTTTATACTGTACTGAAAGGTGAAAGTGAAGAAAAAAACACTGTGTTTTTTATTTAATGCTTCATTTAAGAAAGAATTTTAACTGAAGATAAAGTAATTTTATTTTCTTTTAATGATGGGAGTGTTTGCCAAGATGGGATAATATCAAGAGTTAATTGTAAGAGGGCTGTTAAGGGATATTTTGTCTAAGATCATAATTTGTGGGGAAAGGGGGAGGAGTCTCTCTGTTTTCTCTGGTTTTACAAGAAGAATGACATTATATTATGAGGAAGTAAATTTATTACTAGCAGAAAGAAGATATATATTATTGAGAATAATGAACCATCATTACCAGGAGGTCACCATGGACTTGGATGGAGAGTGGTCTCATTGGCACTCATACCACATCTTCTTATTTATACATATATATTGAGAACAATGAAAAATTATTACAAAATGTATATCTTAATATCTGAAGATAGAATTATAGTGTATCTATAAAATCTTATAGTTATGTAATATTTTTTATGCATTTTATTTAGACAGTCTGAGAGTTCAACTGTAGATGTATGAATTCATAGATATAGGTTTATACGTATACGGTACAATTAACAGTCTACATCAACCACCATCAACTGACTGACCCCTCCGTAAATATTGAGTTACAAACAAAGGGAAGCAACAATAAATAAGGACCAGATAACCTTAGTTGGTACAGGCACAAAATATGACCACTTTAAATTACAACTGTTCATTATTCTCTTGTTGACTTAATGCCATATGATGCTGCCATTGGTACAGCCTTTTATACACCCTCTGTGCCTTTTATACACCCTCTGTGTATATAAAGACACCTGTTTCTTCACCGTAACATCAATACTGTTGATTCTGTAATAATGACGATGCAAAAAAAGAGACAAAGAAGAAATGAGAATTAACTTTTCCTTATTTACTCGTTTATCTGTAATCTCGTGTTAATTGATAATCTGCGGTTTTTATAAACGTTAAATTACAGGTACCTCTAAGATCAAACACGACTGAGGACAGAAAGAGAGCATTTAAATAGGATAATACCCAAGGTAAAGTCGGTTACTTTTACAAACAAAGAAAGGTCCGCCTAACCGTAACAACAAATTATTTACATTATTAAAGGGAAGATTGTTATGTTGGAAATATGTATTGAGAAGGTCCTTGTGTATTTATACTATTGACCCAGTACAGTTACCACTTTGTTAAAAAACATTGAAAAAGTACTCTAGAATTTAAGTTATTATTTTTAGCATACATATCTAATATTTGATATCCTTTGTTCCTCAGATGCCCTCATGGAGATTTGTGACACAGAAGTTTAACAGATGTGGAGATTCGTAACTAATTGGATTATTCAGTGATATTTGAGGACATATAACAAGCATAGGATATACCAGCTGTATACTGACTAATTGATTGTAAGTAATTAAATATGTCATCCTTTTAGTATATTCTCTTTTTTTACCATTAAGTGAGAGGTATAAGATGTAGATAAAAAAAAAGGGGGGAAGTTATTTGTTGGATATTCTTTGGTTCTGTGGATACGGTCAAGCTTATTTCAACTGCTTGTCTTGACCTTACCCCCATTCTTCCTTAGACTTGATTGCATCTCTCCCCATGATAATTATAAATGAAGGAACTTACAAAGTGACTTAAATTCCCTTTAGTACAAAAGAGAAAAGACATGAATATGACACTCTGGTGATGTATAAATAAAGTTATACTCTTTTTTCTATCCTACTATAGCGTGTCATGTTGACGTCTGATTATTTAACATATCTTTTCTCCTTTGTATTGAAGAGAATTTAATTCACTTTGCTACCATCCTTCTTTTACGTTTAATATCTTTCGTAAAAAGTCAAGTGGTGTAAGGTAATTTTTCAGGTCATTAAGTAAAAAAATATTAATTATAGTAAGGTTATTTAACAAGTTAAAAACATGGTCCAAAAAAATTAATCTATGGGAATTATTGTATTAATTTAGAATTAGATGACAAGGCTATATTTTTCTTTGTCCTGTTGAAAACTTTACGGGTGTCGTGACATTACGGTGTCATGACATTATGGTCAGATGTTATGGTAGATATAGGAAAGATCTTGTTCCATTGTAATACTTTTGTACAAAGGAATTTTGTCTGATTGTATCCATGTTGTTCATGACCAAATTTTGAAATAGTTCATTTATTGCTCATTGTTCTAGATTTTATTTTTTATTGTTTGGGTTCATTTTTTCAGATTTATTCAATTTATGTCACGTTTATTTGTGGAGCAAATATAAGTTTGTAGGGACATTGTCCATGTAAATGACTGACTTAAATTGACCAGTATCTGACAAGACTTAAATTGGCCAGAATACCAGACATGAAGAGATATAGATAGAAATGAAAAGGAGATTCAGTAGTAAAAGTCAATTCGCCGTTTCAGAATCTAATGCATTCTGGATAACATGCTTAATATTGTACATCAAAACGTTGTGATTGGTTTAAAATATCCTAATCAATTGAAATTCAACCAATGACGTACCGTTATTTTCATTTTGGTTTACGAACAATGAGATTACCCATAGTCCTTTAGATTCTGAAACGGGGAATTGAGACAGCAACCCAATAAAAGTTAGATTCAATACACTGCTATACTATAAACAAGCCCCCATTCATCATGCCAAGCTATAGATTGTCCAGAGTTTAAACAGGTTACTAGATGTGCATTGAAAATAATGAAATGTTATTTTTGTTGAAAATTCTTGACAAAAACGATTTCCCTTTGTTAGATCCAAAGTATTTTTTTTTCTATGCTTTATTTACTTAAGGTTTGTAGTAAAGATTATAACTGCTATGGTTTACAGTTTAAATTAGGAAATGAAAGTTGACAGCTAAGTTGAAGTAACATTTAAATCCTCTTAGAGATAAGTGATGTGTTGTTCCTGTTAATGTGTGGTCATATAATACCTTTTTGTCAGACAAGCAGGAAAGATTTTTGTATAATGACCCATCAGGTTTATACAATCACTGCCACCTAATTTATGACAGGAATTTAGGGTATTAACTCATTTTGTAGAAACAATCAACTATCACCAATGACCACCCACTTATTGTGTATTCTTAAATTTTGTGTTGTATTATTATTAAGTTATGATTTCTGGTTTGTGGGTGTCTGTGTTTCTGTCTGTCTGTCTCCGTCTGTCCATCCCAAATCAGGTAAACGTTTTGTTTTGAGGTAGTTTACAGTGTAGTTCAAGTTAGTTGGAGGTCACATTAGCATGAACATGACACATGTGTATTATGTATTGAACATTGGAGGAATATTTGGTGATTAACTATTCATTTCATTCTGTTTTTACACAAGCTCAATTTTTTAGTTGTAGCAGATTATTCATTTTCATCCTGTCTTGCACAAAGTTATTTATTTCAGCTCTTACCAGGCCAGGACATTCATTTTCAGAATCATCCGCCGGGCTCCCCCCAGAAAATCAAATTGTCGTCAACGTACAAGAATTTATCTCTTCTATCGCAGCATATTTCAATTATTGAACAGTGAAAATAAATATTTCGAGATAAACAATCTTCACCTCCAAGATATACCTCTTAAAAACCGTATGACAAAGTACACAAAGATCACAAATATTCCCCTCGGTGATGTACCCGTCAACCACAGTATGACACAGTATTTTGTACATACTCTCCACGATAATTGATTACCTGGGGACCGATATATTTTGTATGTTTGTTGATTGTAATTTAAAGTATACAGGTGATCGGGTTAACATTTATTATATCATAAATTACCACATTTATTTGTTTTACTTCAATTTTTATATCATCTTTGTTTAAACTTCACTTCAATGAGTGGGGGTTTGTTGAAATGTTGATATAAATTGTTTTGGGGTATGTGGTTTCTTTGGTTTAAGGTAACATCAGTTGAAAGTAAAATCTTTGTTCATTCAAATGTAAACAGATCCATACCATATAGAAAAACATCAAATCTTGTATGTATGTCAGAATATAATGAGATTGGGATATATGACCAGATGCAGATCCATATTTCGATGTTTGGATGGGCACGCTCCAGATAATAAGAATTAGAAGACCTTATTTTTGACACAAAATTGGCTGCAATTTTACCTTTATTACGTTCTTTTTTTTCTTTGTTTTTCTTTCTTTCCCATAGGGTTGCCGCTGCCTGAATCCTGCACCTGTTGACACTGATACAAAAACCCATCAACACAAAAAATGAAAATTTATTTCCACTATGTCAAACGCTCTATTGTGTTCAAGTTTATGTGTCTTCATTTTTCATTGCTTACATTTTTTAAAAGCACCTATGATAAATAATTTACTCTTTTGCAATGAATTCAGTTGTTTCTCTCTGATTCCTAACAAGGATGCACAAAGGAATATAATCCTGGTCCTACAAATTAAAAGGGGAGATAACTGATCTTACTTCAATATAGCAACATGTTGTGATAGTCTCCGGTAGGCGTAACTCCTCCTTAGATGATGAACAAACATGATCATGATAAAATAATGATGAAACTTTATACAGTTGATGAACACTACCGGAGGATGTGTATAAAGAAATATTATCTAGGTACTGGTACAACATGTTAAAGGGGAGGTAATCAAACTTTATACAATTACAATTGAAGAATACTACCGAAGAACGTGTATAAAGGAATATAACCTTAGGTACTGGTGGAACATGGTAAAGGGGAGATAATTAACTTTTTTGCAGAAGGTTACCTTTCAAAGTTCTAATTTAAATGTTGATTATGATTTAATGAAAGAGAAAGGACATCAAGAGTATCAATTCATGACACAAAATCATTATTGAAAAAAGATGGCTTTATGTAAATTTTACTGAGCATGTTCTTACTGACTACATATATGGTGTATCATATTCTCTTTATGAATAAAACACAATAAAAATAAAAAAGTACTTAAAAGTATTAAACATACTTAAATAGGATAAGCTGGGTGATAATATTGAGCCTAATGTACCATCTGTTTATATGTGTACATACAACTGTACATCTAGTTATTGATTATCTAAAATAATACAAAAGTTATCAAAATGAAGCAGTATCATTTCCAATGTACAAACAAATAGACCCATTGATAAAACATATAACTTATAAGTAGACTAAACAATGAACTTTTTATAGGATTGTACGGTGTATTTTATGTGATAAAATCTGTCACCTTCAGGTTAGTAGGAGTGGACTGAAAAGTAGGGGGGGGGGGGGGGGGTGCAATTTTTGAAAGTGAAAAGCAAAGTCTTAAAGTCTAGGAGTTAGTCATTGTCTTCTTTCATTCTTCCTCATTTTCAATATTTTTTTATTTTGCCAAAAAGTAGGGGGCAGTTATAAATCATAGCCCCCCACTATTGGAAGTGGAAGAGCAATAGCCCCCCTTGCCCCCTGACTCATTTACCAGGTACTTTTCAAATCCCCTTAATACATTTTATATTGTTTACTCTAAGAATAAAGAGATTTGGTACGAATGCCAATGAGACAACAATCCACTAGACCAAAGGACAAAGAGGTAAACAATTACCTGATTACAAGTCTATATACTGCCTTCAAGAATAAGAAAAAAAAAAAAGAAGACAATAATGGCAGATTGACAAATGACAGTGCAAAAAAAAAAGTTCTACAGTGAGTTTAAGTTAAAAACCATGAAACCTTTCTAATGTATTTAAATAAATGTGTATTTTACTTTTCCAAAGTCATTTGTTTTAGTGAGACAAAATATCAACTTTAAGAAACACCTGATTAATGTTAAAAAATGTCACCCTCTCCGGAGCACCCTCTAATTAAATGTCACCCTCTAGATGTTGCCCTCTAGATGTCACCTCTAGAAGTTGTTTTGTTTATAGGTGTTGTCAGGTTTCCATATCATTGACGTTTACCCTGAATCACTTTTATTCATGCAAGCTTAACTAACAGCTGTTTATTTTAAATTTAGAAACCATTTTCCATTTCTGTGTTCTTCAATAGAACAATTTCCTCTGTGTTAAAGTTTAAAACCTTTCCACAAGTTCATTGGCCTTCATGACTTGATCCATTTAGAATGATAAATAAAGTTAAAATCACTTGATTCATTTAGAAACAAATATTTTTTATGGCCATGTGGTCTGTAGGGGTTGTCATTAATAGAAAAATTTACCATTTTTGGTATTTAACTGAATTGGCTATGAATGATTGATCTGTCTCCAAAAAACCTTCTGGCGTCATACTAAAATCACATTTTAATTATGACATCAAACATTTGTCAAATGTTTAATATTATGACCCAAAATTTTACAAGAATTTGATTTACTTTAAGTATGGCATGCCAGTATAAATATGTCTATTGTGAAGAATGAACATTGTGTAGTTAATTTATGTTAAAAACTGTTTTAAAAATTTTACTTCATTTCAAACAAAGAAAAGCTTCATTTATTGATTTTGCCTGAGTCACACAGTATTAATTGTTTCAATTAGTTAGCTACATATATATATAAAGTTTCCAAGATAACATAGAATCTATTGTTACATCTTATTTTGTGATTGAATATGATAATTCATCTTCCCATGATATTTCCCCATGCAAGTATTTACAAATCTGTTGTTTAAATGCCATCAAAAGTCATCCAGGATACAGCATTGATAATAATTTATTTACAGAATTCTTTGTTGTCAATATTTGTTGAAGTTTAAATCTCCCGTTATTATAAACTGTGACAGGTGAGCTTGAGAGTTGGTTTAGATGTACATAAAAACACAGGTATGTTATAAAAAGGCCATAGTTTCATTTCCTTCTTGAGAATTTGAAGTATCTTTTGTTAGACTAAATATTAAAGTTGTTTGATTTTTTATTGCATACAAAACGAAATTGATCTCTTTAGGAATGCTCTTTATTTTGTTTTCAGTTCTCTATCTTAAATAGAGGAAGTGAAGACTGAGATAAAATCTAGTAAGGATGGATAGAATTGATATCCTTCGAAAAATATTGAACTCTGATTTTCCCCATATCATACATTTTTAATTTCTATAGCATGAAACGTTAAGGGTCATAAAGTCAGCAGTATTATATATAATTTTAATAAATAGTAAATATTTCCGTACTGACATGATTTATAACACTCTTTTTATGCCCCTGCCGTAGCCGAGGGGGCATTAAGTTTTGCCCTTGTCCCTCTGTGTGTACGTCCCAAAGTTGGTTTCTGTTCTCTAACTTTAGTTTGCCTCAACCAAATGTTATTAAACTTATACACAATGCTTATTACCACAAAACACAGATCAAGTTTGAATTTTGATGGCATCACTTTAACCGTTCTAGAGTTATGCCCCTTTACAAATGGAAAAATTGCTGAATTTTCGTTTTCGTTCTCTTACTTTAGTTTGCCTCAACCAAATGCTATGAAACTTACACACAATGCTTATTACCACAAAATACAGATCAAGTTTGAATTTTGTTGAAGTCACTTTAACCGTACTAGAGTTATGCCCCTTTACAAAGGGAAAAATTGCTGAATTTTTCGTTTCCGTTCTCTAACTTTAGTTTGCCTCAACCAATGCTATGAAACTTATACACAATGCTTATTACCACAAAATACAGATCAAGTTTGAATTATGGTGGTGTCACTTTAACCATTCTAGAGTTATGCCCCTTTACAAATAGAAAAATTGTCGAATTTATCGTTTCTGTTCTCTAACTTGTTTACCTCAACCAAATTTTATGAAACTTATACACAATACTTATTACCACAAAACTCAGATCAAGTTCAAATTTGGGTAGGGTCACTTTTACCATTCTTCAGCTATGTCCGTTTATAAATTTATATGATATGCAAGCGGGGGCATCATCTGTGTCCCATGGACACATTCCTCATTTATCTTAAATTCTCTGTTTATAAATAAGGAAAATATTAAGAAAGTAAGATACCAACTCCCTTGGGCTAAGTTTATCTAAAATGAATTTAACTATTTTTTAGTTTCCCTTGGTCGTAAAGCTCCTCACAAATTTAGATATTATACATCCTTGGCTTTCAAATGTTTGGCCTTCAGCATTCCTGAGGGTAAATCAAGAAGAGCACTTCAGACACACGAAATGTATAAAGTGACTTTTGTGTTTTTAATAGTGATAGATTCTGGGGAATTTATTTAGAACTTGTCTTAGACTTTAACTTATTTTAGAAGCTTATTAATTAATGTTTAGAAAGTGGGATCTGAGATATGGTGTATTCATGTATTTGAAGCAATAAAATGGTTAATTGATGTGCTTTGTTACAGATAAAATGGTTGGTTTGGGTTACTATAACAAAACCAATTAACCGTTTTATTGGTTCTCAAAGAAATACCAATTTACCACTTTATAGCTTATAGACATCACCTACACCAATCAGCCAGCACTTATAGTTCCTACTTTCCATATATATATTGATAAAGTATTAACTCATAGGTAAATTTAAAAAGTGCAAGTTCAATAAGTATATTTTTTCTTTTAAAAATCTAATTTATGACTTAAATCAATTATATGAGGATTGGGTTAATTAGTTTTACAGCTGAGTTCATAAAAACGTAAATATTGCATAATTACCTGGTTTATTAGGTAACAGTTATAACATACAAGATTAGGTAAATGTTTTGTACACCTTAGTGTAAGGTTACCTATAATGTCAGGTGTATATATTTTGATTGACACCTGTAATCTATTTCACAAGGTAAATATATACTACTAAACAGTTCATTTATCAAAATGGTCGTTTACATTGGAGATTCAGAGATTTCTTATGGAAGGTAAGAAGATCAAGAATATAATTTAGAGTTTTATTCTTTCTAGTTTTTTTTAGACCAAACCCTGTCAAAGGTCATAAGAATTTAATGCTTTGATGTATGTCTAATTTTCTTTAAGACATACTATAAGAAAAATTCTACATTCTTCATAGATAGAAATGTGCATGTACTGTTAATTCATTATCTTTCCTGGGATACCTGAATTTTGGTGGATTAAGTACCGCTAGGTGAACCATGAACTTATGTTTTCAATGAAGTATAAATTTTCTATAGGTTTGTAAAACCAAAAAATCAAATATCCACGGAAATACAACTTTTCTTTAATCCTCTAAAATTGTTACCCACGAAAATAAATGAGTCCACAGTATTTAAAGTACATGTATTATTAAGATCAAGTTATATGAGTCCAAAAAGTAGAATACATCTTTTCATTTCAGCATTTGAAGTTATTTCTCAGTTGCATAACTTTATGTTGATAGTTACAATGTATATGAAATAATATGTGGCTGGAAAAAACAATATGGCTGACCATTTGAATAAACATAAGACCATTTGAATAAACATAAACAAACATGTTGAACCCCACGAGGGGGCGGATCAAGGATGTTTAAAAGGGGGCATAATTCCATAAGCTGCCACTGCCCGCCACATTCTGTATGTGTCTGTCCCAAGATCAGAAGCCTGTAATTCAGTGGTTGTTGTTGGATGCTGTCTGTATGTGTCTGTCCCAAGATTAGAAGCCTGTTATTCAGTGGTTGTTGTTGGTTGCTATCTGTATGTGTCTGTCTCATCAGGAGCCTGTAATTCAGTGGTTGTTGTTGGATGCTGTCTGTATGTGTCTGTCCCAAGATTAGAAGCCTGTAATTCAGTGGTTGTTGTTGGTTGCTGTCTGTATGTGTCTGTCTCATCAGGAGCCTGTAATTCAGTGGTTGTTGTTGGATGCTGTCTGTATGTGTCTGTCCCAAGATCAGAAGCCTGTAATTCAGTGGTTGTTGTTGGTTGCTGTGCTGTCTGTATGTGTCTGTCTCATCAGGAGCCTGTAATTCAGTGGTTGTTGTTGGATGCTGTCTGTATGTGTCTGTCCCAAGATTAGAAGCCTGTAATTCAGTGGTTGTTGTTGGTTGCTGTCTGTATGTGTCGTCTGTCCCATCAGGAGCCTGTTAATCAGTGGTTGTTGTTGGATGCTGTCTGTATGTGTCTGTCCCATCAGGAGCCTGTAATTCAATGGTTGTTGTTGGATGCTGTCTGTATGTGTCTGTCCCATCAGGAGCCTGTAATTCAGTGGTTGTTGTTGACTGATGTCTGTATGTGTCTGTCCTATCAGGAGCCTGTAATTCAGTGGTTGTAGTTGGTTGCTGTCTGTATGTGTCTGTCCCATCAGGAGTCTGTAATTCAGTGGTTGTTGTTGGTTGCTGTCTGTATGTGTCTGTCCCATCAGGAGCCTGTAATTCAGTGGTTGTAGTTGGTTGCTGTCTGTATGTGACTGTCCCAAGATCAGAAGCCTGTAGTTCAGTGGTTGTTGTTGACTGCTGTCTGTCATGTTTGTTTTTATTTAGTGTTTTGTCTTAAATTAAGCTTTTGGTTTTCTTGTTTTAATAGTTTTGCATTTTGTCATGTTAGAGCCTTTTAAAGCTGACTATACATTATGGCTTTTGCTCTTTGTTGAAGGCGGTGTAGTGATCTATAGTTGCTAACATCCATTTGAGTTTGGTGGAGATGTGTCATTGGCAGTCATACCACATCTCCTTACTTTATACTGAAAGAAAAAAAATAATAAAAGAGAATACTGTGGATTCATTTATTTTCATGGGTATCACTTTTAGTGGATTAAAGAAAAAATGTATTTTCATGGATATTTGATTGTGTAGTTTTACAAAATTCTGCATATAATTAAAGAGAAAAAATGTTCTTCGTTGATCATTTCAATTCAAGGTTAACCTGTACCAAAGAATTCCACGAAAATTGGTATCCCACGAATAATAATGAATGCACAATTTATTTCCTATCTTATGGACAAGTGGTAAATGAATTATGAATAATGTGTAGAATACAGTTATCCTCAGATTAACAGTAATGGAAAATTAATTATTGAGATTGATGATAGCTTTTATCATGTTTATGGACAACAAAAATGTCCTTGTTTTCAGTTCAATAATATCTGATAGTAAATAAACTCATTATAGATACCAGGATTTAAATTGTGTACGCCAGTTTCATGTTTTGTCTACCAAAAACTCATCAGTGACACTTGAATAAAAAAAGTTAAAAAGGCAAAATAAAGTACAAAGTTGAAAAGCATTGAGGACAAATACAACAAAGGTAATCAATTTGAACACAGACAGTGCAAACCAAAAAACAGATACAAAACACAAAAAATGGATATGGCATCAACTATGAAACTTGTGGTTTAAATATTTCAGAAATCCATCACAAATTGAAATTGTATTCAAACTACCAAAACTAATTAATTAGGTAAAAAGGGGGAGGGGGATGACTAAATACTGAAGGGTAATACATTTCTATTGCATTTAGTAAGCATTAGTTGAAGGACTTGCTACAAGGACTATATCATGTACTTCAAATATATTTACCTGATCTTAACGAACTTCCTGTATAATTTACAGGTGTGAATGATGACAGATGAAGATCAGATTGATATCAGGTAAGGTCACAGAAACAGGTGTACTGACAGACAGGTGCTTCCCATATATGTGTATCATCATGTGAAAGTTTTAAATCATGGTTTAAGATATTTTAGTAAACTTCAAGATGAGCAACAACAAATAATTAAAGCATTAATTTATTTGATGCTTGTTAATTTCCCAGGGGACTCACCTTTTATTTTTTATTTGATTTGTTTGATTGTGTGTGGATCTTGACCGTTTACAAATTTTCAAAAAAAAAAGGGGTGGGTGGGGTGACCCCAGGGGACTCCCCCTCAATTTGATTTGATTTGTTTTATTGTCCCATCAAGAATATATATGGTTTAGGGGTGGGGATCTCGACTGTTTACAAGTTAACAATGGTTACCTTCAAAATATATGGAAATACTGACAACAATTTTGACTGCTCATTTTTTGTTTCAAGCATGTTAAATTTTTGCCATTTTAATTTCAATATTTGCATTATATTGCCATAATTACATACACATACAGGAGATACATATCTCTGTGTCAAGAGTTAATGAAATATTTTTGGATATATGTCATTGGAATATTTTTGGATATATGTCATTAGAATATTTTTCGATATGTTATTGGAATATTTTTGAATATATATTTCATTGGAATATTGCTGGATGTATCAGTCAGTACAATGATATTAGTTACATAGTGTGCTAGTGACCTAATACGATATATATGGGGTCAGTAAATTCCATATGGGGTGAGAGCGCTTCTTCGCTCTCACGCCATATGGAATTTACTGACCCAATATATATTGTGTTAGGTCACTTAAGCACTCTGTGTAACGAATTTATATCTTACCGACCCTCTTAACATGTGATATTTAGACTAGTGGCCTATCAAAGTGATCAAGTCTTCAATACTGTTAGTATTAAGAACCTACTGCCATTGGTCTATACAAAAACAAATGCCAACAATAACAACTTGTTAGCTTTAAACATGTTAAATGTGTTTTATGGATTTATTTCAATCGTTCATCATCATCTTCTTCGTCTGTTGAAACCTTTCAGATTTTTCCTCAACACCCTGTTGTTTTTATAAAGGGAAGTAACTTCACTGCTAACCGTGTATTGAAAGAAGACCCACCTACTAACCCCATATGAAATATACACGGTCTCCACACGGTTGCTTTTAACCAATACATATTCCTAGTAATGTATAGGAGGTAAGATAATTTTGTATACATCATTGGTATATTTTTGGATACATCATTTGATTATTTTTGGATATCATTTAAATATTTTTGGATATCAATGGAATATTTTTGGATATACATGTATTAATTAAATGATATTAAATTTATCAATCATTGGAATATTTTTGGATATATAATTGTAACATTTTTGGACATACATGTATGTCATAAGGATAGTTTTGGATATGTCATTGGAATAATTTTGGATATGTCATTGGAATAATTTTGGATATGTCATTGGAATATTTTTGAATATGTCATTAGAATTGTTTGTGAGTGCTCAATGATGTGATAGTACAACCTAAAAACAAATTGAAAAAATAAGTTCAAAATGGTGTGACTCATTAGATGGACTTGAAGCAGAAAAAACAAATAAACAGAAGGGCAAAAGACTAAAGATATAGATTTAAGAGTACACACAGTTACTTAGAAAGACAGCAATTTTTGGCCAATTCTAATATAATGTTTTTTAAAAATGATATGTTTTTCCCCAAAATTTTGTCAAATGTTTATTAGTAACTATAGGGTTTGAGATAACCCCCTGCTATGTGTCAATGGTATAAGACTATGAGATGACCCCTGTACTTGATAAATTCATGATATGTTTGTCTATGGATTTATTACCAGTATAGGACTTTATTTTTGTTGTCACTGTCAGCTATATATAGAATACCAGATATTGATTTTCAGCATCTGCTAACATCAGGAATTAATTTTGCCTTTGAATAAATGATGGATGAAAAACTTCTGATACTTTGTCATCTTCCAAAAATTTTGCCTACTTCAAATTTTACTTTTTCGCATGCTAAAACTGATATAACATGTTAAATACCGGTCTTGGGTATAAATAAATATGCCAAATTTAATTAAGATAGTTTCCAGGACTTTACAGTTGTATTTTAAATCCACCAGTTATGTCCACCAAGGAAAATCTATCCCACATATTACAAAAGAACCTGATAAAGATTACATATATTTAGTCCTACATAAAATAAGTTATTGATATTTTAGGCATGCGACAAGTTCTTTATTAAGTAAAGATAATAGTGGGATAATTGTAATACAAATATTTAAGTAATGTTACGGGAGATTGAATTAACTCTTTACATCAATACATAACCATTGGAGTTGGAAACATATATACTAAAGTAGGGGAGATCTATACATCAATACATAACCACTGGAGTTGGAAACATATATACTTAAGTAGGGGAGATCTATACATCAATGCACAGCCATTGGACTTGGGGACAGATATCATAGATAATGGGTTCATTGATTAAATGTATATGATGTAGGGGAGTTTGTTTATACATATACCAATAAAAAAATGTATTCAAGACTTTTATAGAACCGGAACCACACATAGTCTTAGTCCTTGAACTTGAAAACTTATAGAATCGTGACCCCACAAAGTCAACGTCATAGTCACTGAACTTGGAAACTTATAGAATCAGGACCCCACAAAGTCATAGTCATAGTCACTGAACTTGGAAACTTATAGAATCAGGACCCCACATTGTCAACGTCATAGTCACTGAACTTGGAAACTTATAGAATCAGGACCCCACAAAGTCATAGTCATAGTCACTGAACATGGAAACTTATAGAATCAGGACCCCACAAAGACATAGTCATAGTCACTGAATTTGGAAACTTATAGAATCTTGATCCCACATAGTCATAGTCAATGAACATGGAAACTTATAGAATTAGGACCCAATAAGTCATAGTCATAGTCACTGAACTTGGAAACTTATAGAATCGAGACCCCACATAGTCAAAGTCATAGTCACTGAACTAGGAAATAAACATTTAGTAGAGGGATGCATTATTGAATTAACCCAATGTTTCCACTCTAGGTCAGCGTATTTGTTTTCAAGGTCAAAGGTAATTTCTTCACTAACTTAACTATGCATGATAGATGAGCTATACTTGGTATGTAGAAAGGAGTATATGACCTTGTCCATAGTTACATACTGCAGTAATTAGGTTAAGTTTTCAGATATTTGGTAGGTGTGATAACAAGGTCAATTTCCTCATGTCATCTGATCTTAACCTCCACCTCAATTTATGAATTTATTGATGATTAAATAATTAATGCAGGTGAGACATTTTTGTGTGTGATTTTTTTTTCTTTTAATCTAGATCTTAGATGGCAATGGAAGCAGTTTAAAGTTTTTATTTAGAAAGGTACCAGATATCCAATTTTCAAAAAAATATGTCCTTGAAAAAGAATTTTAGATATTCCATATTCTTTCCAAAAGAATGTAAGATTTCCTGTATCCTTAAAAAAGAAAAAAAGAAATATCTGGGTATTCCTCTTGAAAAAAATCACCATTGGCAACTATAACCACAAACCCTGAAGCCCTGTAGGCCAGTATAAATAATGCTGGGCCAGTAAAATTTTCCTGACAAAAAACAACTCCCATTAAGTTATATACCATGAAAGAAATTTTATGAAAGACTGATTTTGGCGCTTATAGTAAACATTTGTTTGTGAAGACTGAAAATAAAGAATATTCCAATAACATTGAGTGAAGATGCTATATCCCGAAGGCTCTGAAGAGGTTTTGCAGTTGTACCCACTATCACAATTTTAATGGAACAATCCACCCACTTCATAATTCAGGAGTTTTAGAGAGGTGCTTATAATTGCATTGTAAATACACATGTTGCTAATTATATTTTTTGCTCATCTGTTTTCTAGCTGATAAAAATCAATTTATTGAATATTTTTCTTAAGGAAGCCATATTGAATCAATAGTCTGCTTTTCCAATAAAATAATCTTCATCATGAAAACTCTTACTGTATCAGCATCATTGATGTTTAGTCAAAGCTTCTGGTGAGATTGATTGACTTGTTAATCATGGATATATTTATCTAAGATCATTGTTGTCATGATAAATCATGGACTGAAGACTTTATTTTAACAGGTTTGTCCATTATTTTCTGATATATGCTGAGATTCGGAATTTTTAAATTTCCTGATTTGAAATTTATGAAAAACAAAATCTTAATTATGAAGAAGAGACAGACAGAGAGTAACCTTGGGGAAAACGTGACTAAAAACATTGACAAGGACATTTCAAAATTAGAGAGAGGCAGAATAGTGATTCTAGTAGAAATGGAAGTAAAAACAATGGTTATAGACTAACAATTTTTACCCAATTCTTGTTGATAAAGATTATATAATGAAAGTATTTGACTTTTGGAATCTTGCCTTTTCCTGTAGAGTAACAGAGATTTGTCTCTGATAGAACTATGTAATGGTAATACAACCAAACATTGTTTACATATATATATATACATTAAGTATATATTGTTTGTTTTGTATCCCTAAAATTAAAAGATAATTTCAAATATTTTTAACAAAAACTAAGGTTGTAATTTTATCTTGGCAAAGGACAAAGGCCTTACAGTAATTTGGCACTAAAATTGAACTTTGAAATATCATTTATACAAAGCAATATAAATTATATGAACAATTTTGATAAACTATATCCTTTTTCTTTCTGCTGTTTGTTTTAATCATGTTAACAGCTTAAAGGTTCAATCTTAGGGTTTATATCTGGCTCAATTGTTACCATTTTCAAAAAGCAGAAATTTGGAATTTTTTCTATCCCAGATTCCCTAAAAATAATAGTTTATAGAACCACAGTTGATTATCACACTTCAAGCTCTATTCAATATCTTTTTTGGAACTTCAGTAGGGAATGTTGACTTGTTTTAATTTCAAATAATGTTGAATTATTGGTGTTGTTGTCAGCTTTCAATGGGTCCATGATTTATAAACATGTACCTTCAGAAATTTGTGAATATCATACTATTTATATTTACAAAATAACAAACATGTTTTGAAGAAAAAAATAATTTTCACTGTCATGCATGTTATACACTATAAACACAGGTATCAGTAACTGTCATTTACTGATCATATCAGAGAACTGTTTACATCAAAGAACTGTTTACATCAGAGAACTGTTTACATCAGAAAACTGTTTACACCAGAGAACTGTTTACATCAGAAAACTGTTTACATCAGAGAACTGTTTACATCAGAAAACTGTTTACACCAGAGAACTGTTTACATCAGAAAACTGTTTACATCAGAGAACTGTTTACATGAGAGAACTGTCTACATCAGAGAACTGTCTACATCAGAGAACTGTCTACATCAGAGAACTGTCTACATCAGAGAACTGTTTACATCAGAAAACTGTTTACATCAGAGAACTGTTTACATGAGAGAACTGTTTACACCAGAGAACTGTTTACATCAGAAAACTGTTTACATCAGAGAACTGTTTACATCAGAGAACTGTCTACATCAGAGAACTGTTTACATCAGAAAACTGTCTACATCAGAGAACTGTCTACATCAGAGAACTGTTTACATCAGAAAACTGTCTACACCAGAGAATCATCTACATCAGACAAAAGTTATTTGCCACTGGATGTTAAACAAACAACAATCTATCAGAAAGACAAACCAAAAAAAATCATTATTATTATTGAAAAAAAATTATTTAATTCTTTTTTTATAGAAATAAGGAGATGTGGTATGATTGCCAATGAGACAACTATCCACCAAAGATCAAATGAAGTGGATGTAAGCAATTATAGATAGGTAACTGTAGGGCTTTCAAAAACGAGAAAAACCCACACCGTATAGAAGGCTATAAAAGGCCCCGACATGAAAATTGTGAAACAATTCAAACGAGAAAAACCAAAGGCCTAAGTTATAACAAAAAAATTTATGAAAAACAAATATGACAGACATGAACACTTTTCACAAACATGAATAAATAGCGAAAGATTGATAAAATAATAAGTTAATTATATTGCTTGAAATTTTAAATGTCATGAATATTATATTTCCTGCTTTTAGTTTTAGAGATTAAAAGATTAGAATTCCTGCATTTGGTTTAGAGATTAAAAATTTTCTTGGGTGATATAAACCATCTGTAATCCTTTATAATGATCTGTACTAGCTTATTCAGTGTCGGTTTCAATGTTGATTTCCCTGATTTCAATTATTGATTAAACCTATTATGTCATAATGTTTTACTATTATGGAACAGTCCATTTGTTATGGAAGGGGAGATAACTTAAGTATTGATTGTACATTGAACCAAATAATTGCTTTGACAGTTATAAACTGTGACAAATTACCAAGTCATTAAAGTTAGTCAGAGACTATTACTGGTAGTATACTTAAGGGATTCTGGTATACTAATAATAGAAAATTGTTAACTTGTATATGTATATATGCATAAACTTTGGACACATTTTAAAGGTCTAAGATCACTTGTTTTCAAACAAACTGCATGTTAAAGGTATTTGTTTATGTAAGAAAAAAGGGTGTGAAAAGGGTGGGGGGAGAGCTTGTGAATGGTTGAAGGTTGATGCATTTTTAACATACGGTGTAAATTAGGAAAATATAATTTGTTTATTATAACTTACTACATGATAATCATAATGAAATTAACAAGTATTAGAGCAGAATTACATATTACACATGTTACAAAGAAATTTTACTTTTCAATGGATTAACAGAGAAAAATTTGTATATTGTCTTAGTACTTTGCTTATTGGTTTAAGAATTGAATGCTTCTGTTTGTAAATTCATTGGGGTTTAAAAGCGTTGACCGAAGTACATTTTGTATGAAGAGGGGAAGCACTTCACTCTAAAAATGTACGCAAGGTCAAAGCGTTACAACCCTATGAAATTACTTAAAGAAGCATTCAATACTTATAATTAAATTTTTTCGTTATGATCATGAAAACACGATTACTATTAAGTTTTTCTTTTATTTACCTGTGCACTTTATTGTGGAAACGTATGTCATCATGTATGTTTCAATTCATGCAATTCATTTTGAAATGAAGAATGACGCGAGATTGCTGTTAGCCAATCAAAATAATGTATAATAATGAAACATACATCTAATGTAATTATTGGACTTTAAGCTTTTCTGAGCAAATTGTAAGTGATATCCACAGAAATAGATTACTTAAACTTGAAGTGAACAATTTGAGAGCATTCTTGTAATGAACATTTATGCCCCTTTTCTTGGAGTAAGAACAGTCGGCATTACTTAAACAAGTAATTTTTAAAATTACCTATACAAGTATTGTTGAAAAGGAGGCTATTTTGAATATGACTTATATAAGTAACTTTTCTAAATATTATTTTTATAGGTGTCCTTTCATATAGATTTTACTACCTTTAACAAATTAATTATCACAGTCATCTTATTAGTTTTCCCATGAAATATCAAAACTAATCCTCCTGAAACACTAATTGCCTATGTGACGCACTTATCTTTCATATCACACTTCTGGGTCAAAGATTGGTCTCTTGGGACTATTAAAATATCATTTTCCTTGAAAATCTTGAAGGTAGACAGATATAGGAGTTTAGTATGACATCCATTTTCACTGAACTAGTACACATTTTTATTTAGGGTCCAGCTGAAGCCTGCCTCCGGGTTTGGGATTTTCTCGCTGTGTTGAAGACCCATTGGTGGCCTTCGGCTGTTTTCTGCTCTTTGGTCGGGTTGTTGTCTCTTTGACATATTCCTCATTTCCATTCTCAATTTTAATTTTAGATATAAATAGATAGACACTTGTGATTTAATTAAGACTTGAAGTTATTTATAATTTGTAACCCAAAACAATTACCTATTTTCCTTAAATAATTGTAATTACTAATTCTTTCAAAGATGTATAAAATAACTTATTCAAGTAATATTTTTGTCATTATTTTTAAGGTAACTTTTTATCTCTATACTCCTCTCAAATTACATAAATTTCTTATTTTATGTAATAGAACAATGTAAAAAGTTATGAAAACTACATCTAGTCCATACTTTTATTGAAATTTAAAATAACTCTATTGAGTAATTTAATAATTTTTAAAAACAAAAATCACCTATAAGTAACTAAAAAAAATAAGTTGTTTAAGTAATGCCCCTTGGAGTATAAATCTATTCAAAGAGTCAGTTATTTTCTTCATCAGTCAGACAGTTTATTCATCTATAACTCTTTTACACATTAAGCAGCTTCTATATTAACATGATTAAGGAATGATTTAATACTTTGTCAGGAACGATTATGATGTAATGTGGTACGAATATTCAATGAAGCATGTATAAAATGCTCTTTTTGTGCATAACTTTAAATTTTGACCAAGTTTCTAACTACCCTGGTATGTCATTATACCTTTGTAAATTAAAGTGGGCTTTGACCAGAGTTTCAGAATGAAACCATTATATCTACTTTATTGCCAAAGGTATTAAATTTTTAAAGTTGTAAGGAATTATACACTAAATTTTAAAAATCCCAATTTTGAAATACATTTTTCTTGTTATTTGTCTAAAACCAATTGCAGAAGATACCTTACCAAAAGCCTTTTATATTTATATTAGATTATCCAACAGCAAAATTATGCAGTGATCATTTGTTAACAAATACAAAGGGAGAATGAATTTGTATGATAAATTAAAACTGCAATTTTCAATTGTAGAAGATATGTCTAGATGGTGCAGCAAGCTGGAAGCGTAATGTCCGCTACCTGTTCTGATTTTACCCAGAATGCATGGCGGAAAGATCTGTGTTCAAACTGTCAGCGATCAAGGGCAGAACATTCACGGGCAGCAGTGAAAGAAAATTCTCCAGTTCCTAAAAAACGCACTTCTGTGATAATTAAAACATTTGGTAGCAGTGAGCCAGAAAATCTAAAAAATTTGAAAAGCAGTTTGAAGAGTTCTTTAAAGGGGAATAATTCACATGTCAAAAATACAAATGTTCAGTTTGTGAGTGATTTTCCAGATGTGATTGGACATGACGGTGGGATAGTAAACTTATACTCAGATGAAGAAAATGAAAATGTTTCCGATTCAGACTCGGTTGTAGAAGAATTATCATTTACGGAGGAGGAACGATCATTCGTGTTACAAGCTTTAGAAAATACAATTTGGAATTCTGAAGTTGATAATTTAAACAGTGAAAAAAATAAACCAGCCAAAACACGACAAAATTCAAGTAGAGAATTTGAAGATATAAAAATTTTGTCTTTATGGAAAGCTGATAGATTTAAGGATTTAAAGGACTGTGATGCTATTATTCCAAAGCGTTACGGAACATTTCCTTTAAGGTCAAAATCCAAGAAAAATTACATCGACAGTGTATTTGATGACGACTATTTATCATCAAACATGACCCGGACTAAGATCAATTCTGTGTCTTCCGTAGGGTCAGATAATGAAAAAAACGATAGTGACAATGAACCATCTTCTCCTTATAAACTTTTAGATATCAATGAGATCTTATATTCTAAATTCGAGGATGTTCAATTAACCTCAAAGGGAGGCAATTATGAAACAGACAATTCTCCATTGGAAAATGATGATGAATTTGATCCCGAAGAGGACTTCTTTGATGGGTTCCTGGATGATTTGGATTTAGATTCATCTTCTGCTGGAATGCAACTTGTTGACATGCTGAATGGTGTACTTGCTAAGTATAGTGATAGTGATTCTTTTCGTGGAATAGAAGATCATGAGATTTTTCCAGACCTTCCCATTAAATTGTCTAGAGATAAAAATAGTTCTGGACCTCCAACATTACGAGCTGAAGATATTAAAGCACTGAAGGGAAGCATCAAGTCTACGAAAGAATTTAATGCTACTCTTGCTAATATAATAAAAAAGCAGAAGAAAAAACCAGCACCGAAACCTCCAACTTCACCTCCTCCACCACCTGTTCATGCCAACCAATCAAAAACTTCACCAGTTCAAACTGACCAATCAAAAACCTCACAAGTTCAAACTGACCAATCAAAAACATTACCATTGCAAAATAATAAGACAAAAATTGACAGACAGAACTCAGATAGCTCTTTGAAAAAAAGTTCCTCGTCGGACCAAAACTTCAAAGAACCAAAGTTTGGTATGGTGACTGTAGGTAAATCAATCATTGATCATGGACAGGAGAAACCCTTATCCCCAAAACGTTCAGCAAATGTATTTGAGGAGCCGGAACAACCAGCAAAAGTTAAACCAGAAAGTAAACAGAAAAGAGGTATTTCTGGATTTTTTAGAAACATTCTAAAAAGAGGTAAGGATTCGTTGGATCAGTCAGATCAGAATCCAGTCAATAGTGATTCAAATTTATCAAAATCCTCCGAAGTTTCTAATGCATCATCTTCATCTGGTGAAAGTTATCCTTCAACAGGAAGTGATGAAGCCAAAACAGGAAGTAGTAACGATCAGACAAAAAATAGTCCTGAAGAGAAACAGTCTGAAAGTGTTCCAAAACCTGATAAAGTTAAATCTCCTCCACAGAAGCCAGTGCCAACTAATCCTCGTGGACCAAGAACTAGCATTATAATGTATATGTCTGAGTCTTTCAGTGAAAGAAAAGAGGAACAAGAAGGTAACGATATAATAAATGGAAAAGATTCACCAAAAACTGATAAAAAAGATTTAAAAACTGTATCTGAACAACCAACTGATATAATTAAAGAGAAAAAGCCTATCATGAAACCACAAACTGCTCCTCCCCCAAGACCTCAAACAAGACCGAAACCACCACCAAACCCTAACAAACCCACTGTTAGTCCTCAGTTGTCCTATGATGGAAAAGGTTCCCCAAGACAAAGTAGAAAGACAAGTGAAAGTAGCTTAAGTAATTTAGAAGAGAGTCCAAAGCACACCGATGACAATGTAGTAGTCAGACGGAGAGCAAAAAGTCCCAAAAGAAGTACAGCGCCATCTAGACCTGCCGTTATACCTGTCCCAGGACCAGATACTAAACATTCATTATTTACAAAAGAATTGGAGATGAGGCTGAGTAAAAATACAGAACAGACAAAAGTTAGTGTGTCACCTAAGAGTAGCCATGATGGCACACTGCCAAAAAATATACAAGAACAGAAAAAAGTGACAAAAAACAATACTGACATTATTTCTCCGAAGCCTCTCTCTAGAAGTTCCTCTGAAAATGCTTCACCAAAGAATACAATAGATCGTAAATCTTCTCTTGGTCCTCCACCACCATCACCAATGGTAACATCGACAACATCAATTAAAGATGATAATTCATTAGTTAAAGATCGTAAATCTACATTGGGTGCTCCGCCTCCATCACCAATGACGACATCAACAACGTCTATCAAGGAGGAACCTTCCTCAAAAGGTCATAAGTCAACATTATGTCAACCTCAGACATCACCTATGACATCATCAACGTGTTCAATAAAAGATGACACAAAGGAAGTTAATCCTGAAGGAAAGGGAGATCACTCTGATACTAGTCAACAAGAAGTTAAACAAGTAGAGAAAATAGAGTTGCCAAACAAAGCTCAAAGTCGACGAAGCTTCCTTGGAAAATTAAACAGAAAATCAAAAGCTCCTTCCAGACCTCAGTCTAGTGTGAAAAGAACTAAATCTATCAGTGATACACAAGGCAGTGATTTACAGCCAAGGAAAATAGACCTCTCTGATATATCAGGACCTGTGGTAAGATTATAGCTTATATTATAGGCTCTGCTATTCATGTATAAATAATGAGATGTGATATGATTGCCAATGAGATAACTATCCTCCAAAGTCCAAAGGACGAGGATATCAACAACTAAAGGTCACTGGACCACCAACAACAATGAGCAAAACCCATACCTCATAGTAAGTATGATTGTCAATGAGATAACTATCCACCAGAGTCCAAAGGATGAGGATGTCAACAACTATAGGTCACTGTACCACCAACAACAATGAGTAAAACCCATACCTCATAGTAAGTATGATTGTCAATGAGATAACTATCTACCAGAGTCCAAAGGACGAGGATGTCAACAACTATAGGTCACTGTACCACCAACAACAACGAGGAAAACCCATACCTCATAGTAAGTATGATTGTCAATGAGATAACTATCTGCCAGAGTCCAAAGGATGAGGATGTCAACAACTATAGGCCACTGTACCACCAACAACAATGAGTAAAACCCATACCTCATAGTAAGTATGATTGTCAATGAGATAACTATCCACCAGAGTCCAAAGGACGAGGATGTCAACAACTATAGGTCACTGTACCACCAACAACAATGAGTAAAACCCATACCTCATAGTAAGTATGATTGTCAATGAGATAACTATCTACCAGAGTCCAAAGGACGAGGATGTCAACAACTATAGGTCACTGTACCACCAACAACAATGAGTAAAACCCATACCTCATAGTAAGTATGATTGTCAATGAGATAACTATCCACCAGAGTCCAAAGGACGAGGATGTCAACAACTATAGGTCACTGTACCACCAACAACAATGAGTAAAACCCATACCTCATAGTAAGTATGATTGTCAATGAGATAACTATCTACCAGAGTCCAAAGGACGAGGATGTCAACAACTATAGGTCACTGTACCACCAACAACAATGAGTAAAACCCATACCTCATAGTAAGTATGATTGTCAATGAGATAACTATCTACCAGAGTCCAAAGGATGAGGATGTCAACAACTATAGGTCACTGTACCACCAACAACAATGAGCAAAACCCATACCTCATAGTAAGTTTTTTGGGCTATTAGTTATTTATACATGCATATAGAAACCCGCTACACAGAAAATGTTGATACAATCAATCATGCTAATCTGGCTGTTATGAAATAATTCTAACACAAAGGATGAACCAATCACACTCACAGACAGCAATGAACATGATGAAACTTATCTGACACACAAAGATGCAAAATTAATTTGACAAGATTATTAGATTATTCTGGTGTATGGGAAAAAACCAACATGGCTATCATTTAAGGATGTTCGCTACTCTGTTTCAAAATAACAAGCTTTTTGAAAGACTATAATAAATTGATAGTATATACATAAAGGAACTTAAAAAGCAGATAAAAATTAAGGGTCCATGTGCTTGTTTTCGAGATATAAGCCATTGAAAATTTGGCAGGAAATGATTCTCTCTAGATTTTTCATACATTTAACATTGGCACCTTTTTTCTTTCAAAAATTATGAAAAAATAACAAGGATTTTATAAGATTTTTAAATATTGCTTTTTAAACTTTTTGTAATGATATTATGAAAAGAAAAGTAGGGGTTAGTGGGCAAAATTTTTTAATGGCACTACATGGATAAAACCAGAGGATTCCGAATATCTGGCAAAAATTCTAAAACATGAGAAGGGAACATCCTCAATTGTATACTTTTCAAGATGACTGCCATTGCATTGATTTTGATCAAGCTATTTTATGTATTTTCTCTCATGTTTCTAGTACAATGTAGTAGTAGTTTCTCAAAGTTATGGAGATTTAACTTTTTAAATTACAAGCTTCATGAGCAATAAAAAATTTGAATAAACTAGTTGTCAAAGGTATATATATATATTGGTTTGTTCTCAGGTATGTATACATTTTTTTCTGTATCAGGTTGAGGAATAACATTTCAAAAGTTTGTGTTCTTAATCGTTTACTAAACATTTTTTAAAAATCTGTATTTACATTTGCAGATGGTTACAGATCCATGTGGTAACACTTTTTCTGTCAGTCGGAGGAATACCATCACCATTGGAGAGGATCCTTCTATGGTCTCAGGTATGTATACAGTGGTTTCATTGTCAGTTGGAGGAATACCATCAGCATTGGAGAGGATCATTCTATGGTCTCAGGTATGTATACAGTGGTCTCACTGTCAGTTGGAGGAAAACCATCATCATTATAGAGGATCCTTCTTAATCTCAGGTATGTATACGGTTGTTTGACTGTCAGTCAAAGGAATACATCTCTATTGGAGAGGATCCTTCTAGGGTCTCAGGTATGTATACAGTGGTTTCAATGACAGTCAGAGGAATACCATCACCATTATAGAGGATCCTTCTTAATCTCAGGTATGTATATGGTTGTTTGACTGTCAGTCAAAGGAATACATCTCTATTGGAGAGGATCCTTCTAGGTTCTCAGGTATGTATACAGTGGTTTCACTATCAGCCAGAGGAATACATCACCATTGGAGAGGATCTTTCTTAATCTCAGGTATGTATACAGTGGTTTCACTGTTAGTCAGAGGAATACATCACCATTGGAGAGGATCTTTCTTAATCTCGGGTATGTATACAGTGGTTTCAATTTCAGTCAGAGGAATACATCACCATTGGAAAGGATCTTTCTTAATCTCAGGTATGTATACAGTGGTTTCACTGTTAGTCAGAGGAATACATCACCATTGGAGAGGATCTTTCTTAATCTCAGGTATGTATGCAGTGGTTTCAATTTCAGTCAGAGGAATACATCACCATTGGAGAGGATCTTTCTTAATCTCAGGTATGTATGCAGTTGTTTTACTGTCAGTCAGAGGAATACATCACTATTGCAGAAGATCTTTCTTGGTCTCAGGGATGTATACCCGGTACAGTTAAATTGTTGGAATGTTTCCCTGTCTTTTACATTAAGGGTCACAAACTTATTTCAACACTATAAAGCTCAGATTTAAAAACCAATGCAAATCCCATTGTATTTGTACCACGAAAATGTCTATGTTCCAGTGGTTTCTATAATAATAATTTTTTATGCCCCTGCCGTAATGGAGGGGGCAATAGGTTTTACCCTTGTCAGTTTGTACGTCCGTCCATCCAAAAATTGGTTTCCTTTCTCTAACTATAGTTTGACTCAACCAAATGTTATGAAACTTATACACTATGCTTATTACCACAAAACACAGATCAAGTTCGAATTTTGGTGGTGTCACTTTTAATGTTCTAGAGTTATGTCCCTTTACAAATGGAAAAATTGCTGAAATATTCGTTTCTGTTCTCTAACTTTAGTTTGCCTCAACTCAATGTTATGATACAATGCTTATTGCCACAAAACTCAGATCAAGTACAAATTTGGGTAGCGTCACTTTTACAGTTCTTGAGTTTTGTCCCTATATAAAGTTATATGCAAGTGGGGGCATCATCTGTGTCCCATGAACACATTCCCCATTTATTTTACCTTTATTTTGCAGGTGGTTCAACATCATCAGGTTCAACAAATGACAAATATGATGAATGGCCAGACTTCTCTCCCCTTGGATCCCTGGATAACCTTTATGAACCTATTGTGCCAAAAGAAGCACCACCACCTCCCCCAGGAAAGGGAGATAATTCAGACATTAAGACTAATACATATGATCCATTGTCTGAAAAAATTGTTGATTTATCTGTCAGTTCTGAAGGATATTTAGAACCAGTTCGGACTAATCCTTCCCATGATTCCTCAAAAACAGGAAGTAAAGATGTGACTAAAAATAACTTCAAAGATAAGTCTTCCAAGATTGAAAACAGAAATGTTATTTTAGCCTCTCAGCCAATTTACGAGGAAATCAACGGTAACGATAATGAAAGAGATGAACTTGATGATGATTTAGACGCAGAATCGATGAAAACTGATGTCACTGAATTACAAAATTACATTTCACGAAATATAACAGTGTCGCCATCCTCTTCTTTTACGGAGTCTGACACGTCATCAGCATCTGGATCATTAAACCGTCCACGACCTTTACCACGTAAACGACCAAAACCCATCGATAGTTCTGTATTTGAACAACCGTACATAGCTATGAATAGACCTTCCATTGGAATGTCCCTTAATGAGTCACAATTACGTGAGACCGTAAATCTATTAACGTCAGCTAATCTACAGACACTAAGGGAAATATACACACATTATGAAAAGGAATTCAAGAAGGATAATGTGAATTTAAATGTAACTGGATCTGCAGGACCACTGAAATGGAGAGATTTTGATATCTATGGAAAGCCAGTTCATAGGTCAGAGAGATGTATCGTGTATAATGCTAAGTTAAGGTCAAATCAGTGTAGCTGTCAGTTAATGGTAAGTGTATTTTACATGTTGTAGATAATAAGATATACATTTTAATAATAATAGTAATTATAATAGTTCTTTATTTAAAGAGGGTTACACAGTGAGCTACAAAACTAATCTTCCCTGAGGCCTTTATGAAATACATTGAAATATAACAAACAAAAAATTACAAAATAATCAAACAAACAATCACATGTATACGGAAGATCTTTGATTGTTTATTTATGTTTATTCACTTTTATAGTACAATTTAAGAGATTGATTTACATTGTGATATTGGAAAAAGATGTCATTGTGATCAAAACATTTTTAAGAGAACTGAAGAACACTTTTTTCACCAAAAAATTCACAATATGTTGGGGAAAATTCATGATTTAGATGCTTTCAACATTTAAAAAAAAAAGCACTGATTTCTTCTAAAATTTGTAAACTAAAGAATAGAACCAAGCAGAAACACTCGAAATCATATTATATTACAATAAGAAAATAAAGATTCATTATGTTGATAATGTTTTTTTCTGAGCTGTGGACTCGGCATAGCCAAAAAAGATGAGTCCATGGACTTAACTGAAAATCCCAGTGAGAATTACTAAGCTCTGGTCAAAACAAGTTGGGATTTTTACAGATATACTAGAACACACCCATGACATCGTGGGTCAATGACTGAATTAAAGTACCTTACGTCCTATTTTTAGCCAGGATTTTTATTATTCGTATTATCATCGGATCAAGTCATGCTGATAATAAGGTGCACAGTTTTCTCTGCTTTCAAAATCTTTCTGTTTGAACCTAGTTTTCTTACTACAACCGGACACTTCATGTGACGTATACTATTTGTATAGGATTCGAGACATACATACAATTTATCTTCAGTAGGCAATAGATTGATTTGATATATGAAAGTTGATGATTTTATAAAAAAAATTCCTGCAATTTGTCAGGTTCAACAATAGGAAATTTGCTTTATACTGCAGTGAAAGGGGAACAACTCAAAAGTAAAATTAATTTTTCTCATCAGCATTTAATATGTTTTAATTTCAGCTGCTTCACTCCCGACCAGATATCAGCATTGTGGAACACCCGAGCTTGTTACATCCAAGTGTGATATTTTCTGACATAGTTCCTCATTCCTACTTAACAGATGATTTTATCAAAACCAATCAACTTTTACAGTATGCCAACAAACAACCAGATTTAGCTAAATGTTTTATTGCTGCTGGACAGTTTGATATCACAGACAATATGAATAATCACTTAGCTTCACTGGAGAAGATTTACGATTCTGCCACGCCATCCGAGGAACATTTAGAGATTTTATTGTTTCATGTGCTACAGATCCTTAGTGCTATTTCACACTGCTTAGAACACGGCTTCTCATTAGGAGAGGCAAACTTCCGTGATGTCTTCGTTCTTGCTCCTGGCAGTCGTTGCCATGGGAACACAATAGCATTCTTGCCACATCAGAAACAACATGACAGTTCACAAGTGGAGTCCATATGTGCGTACATGGAAAAGTATTTAGCTGAAAATTTAAATTACCGTGCTTATTCAAAGGGAGGTAAATTTCACATGGGCATTTTTAAAATTGGTAAAATGTTGCAATGCAGAAGAATTGAGTCCCTTGCTCAGGTTCGGTGCTATATAGAATTTTTGTTGTGGGGACCAAAGGACACTTATTTTAAAGGTGAGATGCAGAGAGAAAGCAATATAGAGCCCAAACTATCAATATGGCTAGAAACAGAAAGGGCAAACCTTGTACAGGGTATTGCAAAAGAGAGAATAATGGGATTGAAAGAGTTGTATTCACTGAAACATTTTTATCAGATGAAATTTTTACTGAAGGCTACTGCATATATGTTGTCTGAATGTGTTCGAAATCATTTATCAGAATAATTATTTTATAATGCATTTAAAAGGCCACGCATTGAATATCTAACTTGAATTAACTGGAACCTGTTTAAATGAAATCATCAGCTAGTATTTTATATGTTTCTGTGTAACCCTCAGAATTTGTCTGAACTTTTAGTTATGTGTGACAATAAACAGTTTTATTAACATTGAAAATAATTCAGTTCAATTTGGTGCTCATTTTAACGATGTCTTTTAAATGCATACAAGTGTAATTACACTTAAAGACTCAATTTTTATAGAAGCATGGTGTATACAGGCAAATTTTGTTTGCTTTTTTATTTTAATTTCAAGTTAATGTAGCTTATGCTTATAAGTTAAATTCACATTAAGATTTTAACCATTTTGACTTTTTTGTCTTAATTTTAAAATTATATTTGGTACAATCATGACAATAGACAGATCAATGGTTATTTAGGCATTAAGTGGAACACACACACAGTTTAAATTAAATTTGGAAGACACTTTAAGAAAAAAGTCATTTCAGAATCAAAATATAATATTTATTTACCATGTTTACTGTTTTCAGCATTAGCCAGCATTAGTCTAAGATAAACCTCTACCATTAAAGATTTTCTCATCAATATCTCCTAGTCAAATACACTATAGCTGAAGTGGATGTTGCTTTTTCTACCTGTCCAACGTGGGAAGCCATCTCAGGTCCACTCAAATTTAACATGAGATTCAACATGTTCAATAAAAATATTGAATACAATAGCCTTTTTTTATTTTTCCAAGCTATTTTATCATGTTTATGTTCAATTCTTTAAATATAATTAAAAAGATTATTTATTTTATTTTTACCCGTTGCAGTATCAGGTCCTTAATCAGATAATCATCCTGTCTCAACCCTTCATAACCCCAAGTATTAAAATATAGAAATGGCATGTCTAGTCTAAAGGGTGGACATAGTGGACATCTATAAGTTTTGGCTCACTCCCATCATGGATGGATTGAATTGCCTAAATCCATATGTGCTGTAGTGTATGTTGGTAAAAACCTCAATTTTAACCTATTTGTTTATTTATATTTTAGAGAATAATTTTTGTTACTTTCAAATTAGCTGATATTGTTTTTGGTTATAACTGACATGTATTCATTCATAACAACATCAGAATTATATTTTATTACACAGCACTTGTACTTTTTATATTTCTATTATTTGTTCTACTGAATTTTATTTTTATATAACTTTTTTTATTTTCTGTAATTTTTAATTATATGGACATTTACATGTAAAATCTTTTTAAATGGATTCATTCACAATATTTAGAAACTACATACACATCATTAGTAAGACAGAAACATGATTAAAAGGACTGTATATTGAGTAAAGAAGTAGATACTATCATAGTCCCGTATACTGCATAAGAAAATGTAAAACCGTTCCATACCTGTCCTCTGACCCGTACTTTGCGGGTGTGACCAGTGAATTTACCAGCTTACTCAAGATTTTTCAATAATATCTGTCCCATCATCAAGTAACCAGGGATTTCATCAAATGACCCGTTTTCACCCATATTCAAGAGCAAAGAGACTTCCAATGTCTAAAACGCTAAATTTTTCCACGGACTATGTCTGAAAAACGGCAACTTCAAAATTCTTCCTGGACATGAAGTTCAATAGTTTGATCTCAACTGAATAATTTACGACATACAGTCTTCAACAATAACAAGGTCTCCATACACATGATACATGTCAAGATCCAAATTGCCCTCAGTCAATAAAAGTATGGGGTATTTTTATTCTTTCGGTTCTTTACGGATTTTTCCTGTCCAACCCCAAATATCAAATGGTTTATGTTGTATTGTTCTATATATAGATAGTACCGGTGTTTGTTGTTATTTCTTTGGCTTAGTATTATTTTGTGTCTATGACGTTATGTGCTGCCACCATTGTTATGATATGTAGCACTTTGTATTGGTTTCATAGGAAATTTGTCCAGGGCCTTGGTTGTAGACATGTCTAAGTAGTTCATCTTCAGTAAGGTTGTGAGTTTGAACCCTCTTGTTGCAAGGTGGCTTTGACTCTGATTTTGATTAACAACGATTGCCAGTTTTCCTGCCAATGGTCAGTGTTTCACTCTGGGCACCCCAGCTACCTCCACCAATAGAAACTGGCCCCTTAACAATAGCCAAGTGTGCTGAAAGTGGCTTTAAACACTAACAATAAATCAATTATAGTATTTCCAGTAAGTACTTCTATGTTGTAATTTTCTATAAATTTTCTGAAAGGACTTTGTTAATATTTTTTCAGGTTAATGTTGCTTTTTGAATGATAAGTGGTCAAAGGGAGATAACTCACTTTAAAACAGCTGAAATCCAGGTTTTTATCCATATCCATATCCATACCCATACCCCCCCAAAGAAATTAAAAACCAGAAACTTATCTTATTATACATGTTTAACAATTATCAATACTAAACTTGGCGGAATGTTTTTATGTTCACACTTTTTATGACAAATCACATAATTATGTGCAATATATATTGTTTATTTTATTTATTATCAATGTTTTATATTGAATGATAAATTTTAAGCTGTGCGCATGTTTGGTAAGACTTTATTTTATGAATTATAAAATGTTTTGTTTAGCAAGAGTCATCTTATATTTTGTTGAAGAAGGTTCTAGATAATATAAACTGAGGCAGTTATTTCAGGACAGAATTTTTCCACCAAAGTTATTAATCAAATCAAGTTTAAGTTTTTAAAACAGATAACTTTTTTTAAAGAGCAAGAATATTAAGATGTATGGAATAAATGACCTAAGGAAATAAGTCTTTTGTCGTGGGGAAATCACTGGCAATAAATAAGGAGAAGATATCAGCTATTTTCCATTCATGATTAAAATATAAGGGTTAAAAACAGAAATTTACAAGATTGGAGCGAGACAGCCAAACATGTGAATGAAGGTCATTTGCGTTACATTTTGTAATGAAGGTCAATTGTATGTACATTATGTAGGAGAATTATGACAGAAGTTTTATTCTGACTGTAATTGCTTAATGATGTAGTCCAATTAATGTGTGCTATAATTTATTTATATGTTAAACTATGCATTGAAATAAACCAATCGTATTAGATTTTATTATTTCATTAAAACATGTAAAAACAAACCAATCATATTAGATCTTATTGGTAACATTGAAATAAACCAATCATATTAGATCTTATTGGTAACATTGTAATAAACCAATCATATTAGATCTTATTGGTTACATTGAAATAAACCATTTATATTAGATCTTATTGGTTACATTGAAATAAACCAATCATATTAGATCTTATTGGTAACATTGAAATAAACCATTTATATTAGATCTTATTGGTAACATTGAAATAAACCAATCATATTAGATCTTAATCGTTACATTGAAATTAACCAATCATATTAGATCTTATTGGTAACATTGAAATAAACCAATCATATTAGATCTTATTGGTTACATTGAAATAAACCATTTATATTAGATCTTATTTGTTACATTGAAATAAACCAATCATATTAGATCTTATTGGTAACATTGAAATAAACCAATCATATTAGATCTTATTGGTTACATTGAAATAAACCATTCATATTAGATCTTATTTGTTACATTGAAATAAACCATTCATATTAGATCTTATTGGTAACATTGAAATAAACCAATCATATTAGATCTTATTGGTAACATTGAAATAAACCAATCATATTAGATCTTATTGGTAACATTGAAATAAACCAATCATATTAGATCTTATTGGTAACATTGAAATAAACCAATCATATTAGATCTTATTGGTAACATTGAAATAAACCAATCATATTAGATCTTATTGGTAACATTGAAATAAACCAATCATATTAGATCTTATTGGTTACATTGAAATAAACCATTCATATTAGATCTTATTGGTAACATTGAAATAAACCATTCATATTAGATCTTATTGGTTACATTGAAATAAACCATTCATATTAGATCTTATTGGTTACATTGAAATAAACCATTCATATTAGATCTTATTGGTTACATTGAAATAAACCATTCATATTAGATCTTATTGGTAACATTGAAATAAACCATTCATATTAGATCTTATTTGTTACATTGAAATTAACCAATCATATTAGATCTTATTGGTTACATTGAAATAAACCAATCATATTAGATCTTATTTGTTACATTGAAATTAACCAATCATATTAGATCTTATTGGTAACATTGAAATAAACCAATCATATTAGATCTTATTGGTAACATTGAAATAAACCAATCATATTAGATCTTATTGGTAACATTGAAATAAACCATTCATATTAGATCTTATTTGTTACATTGAAATTAACCAATCATATTAGATCTTATTGGTAACATTGAAATAAACCAATCATATTAGATCTTATTGGTAACATTGAAATAAACCAATCATATTAGATCTTATTGGTTACATTGAAATAAACCAATCATATTAGATCTTATTGGTCACATTGAAATATTTAACCAATCATATTAGATCTTATTGGTCACATTGAAATATTTAACCAATCATATTAGATCTTATTGGTCACATTGAAATATTAAACCAATCATATTAGATCTTATTGGTCACTTCGAAATATTAAACCAATTAGGTCTTATTGATCACACTGAAATAAACCAATCATATTAGATTTTATTGGTTACATTGAAATAAACCAATCATATTAGATCTTATTGGTCACTTTGAAATATTAAACCAATTAGGTCTTATTGATCACACTGAAATAAACCAATCATATTAGATCTTATTGTTAATAGTGTGGTTGAAAAACTTTCCTGAAGATAAACTAATAGATGATATGCTTGATTCCATTTGTTATCTTTCTGTCAAAATCTTTGGTTTAAATGACACTATTTTAATTCATTTGTGCATTTAGTTTGACCCTTCTCAGTCTGTACGTCTGCATGTCCGTCCGTACATCCCAATATTAGTTTCTATTCTCTAAATTTAGTTTGCCTCATCCAAATGTTATGAAACATATACACAATGCTTATTACAAACAAACACAGATCAAGTTCAAATTTTGGTGTTGTCACTTTCACTGTTCTCATGTTATGTGACTTTATAAATGGAAAATTTGCTAAATTTGCAGTTTCCACACTCTAACTCGTTTGCCAATCAAATGTTATGAAACTCTTTCATAATGCTTATTACCTCCAAACATAGACCAAGTTCAAATTTGGGTGGCATCACTTTCACCGTCCTCAAGTTATTATCAAAACAAGAAGATGTGGTATGATTGCCAATGAGACAAGCCTCCACAAGAGACCAAATGACACAGAAATTAACAACTATAGGTCACCGTACAGCACTCTGTAAATTGATTTTTAGCTAACCTGGCCCTTCTTCGGGCCAGGTGAGCTATTCTCACCACTTGGCGTCCGTCGTCCGTCCTCGTCCGTCGTCGTCGTCATTAACTTTTTACATTTTGAACTTCTTCTAGAGAACCACTGAATGGAATGGAACTAAACATGGCATGAATGTTCCTTATGAGGTGCTGACCAAGTGTTGTTACTTTAAAGCCAATCCATCAACCAAGATGGCCTCCAGCGGGGAACTTAGTTTAACATAGGACCCTAAGGGAAGTACATACAAATGTCTTCTTTTAGAGAACCACTGAATGAAATGAAACCAAACATAGCATGAATGTTCCTTATGAGGTGTTGACCAAGTGTTGTGACTTTGAAGCTGATCCATCAGCCAAGATGGCCTCCAGCGGGGAACTTAGTTTAACATAGGACCCTAAGGGAAATACATACAAATGTCTTCTTTTAGAGAACCACTGAATGGAATGAAACCAAACATGACATGAATGTTCCTTGTGAGGTGATGACCAAGTGTTGTTACTTTGAAGCCGATACATCAACCAAGATGGCCGCCAGCGGGGAACTTAGTTTAACATAGGACCCTACGGGAAATACATACAAATGTCTTCTTTTAGAGAACCACTTGATGGAATAAAATCAAACATAGCATGAATGTTCCTTATGAGGTGTTGACCAAGTGTTGTTACTTTGAAGCCGATTCATCATCCAAGATGGCTGCCAGCGGGGAACTTAGTTAAACATAGGACCCTAAGGGAAATACATACAAATGTCTTCTTTTAGAGAACCACTGATTGGAATGCAACCAAACATGGCATGAATGTTCCTTATGAGGTGTTGACCAAGTGTTGTTACTTTGAAGCCGATCCAGTATCCAAGATGGCCGCCAGCGGGGAACTTAGTTTAACATAGGATCTATGGGAAATACATACAAATGTCTTCTTTTATAGAACCACTGAACTGAATGAAACCAAACATGACATGAATGTTCCTTATGAGGTGCTGACCAAGTGTTGTTACTTTGAAGCCGATCCATCATCCAAGATGGCTGCCAGCGGGGAACTTAGTTAAACATAGGACCCTGAGGGAAATACATACAAATGTCTTCTTTTAGAGAACCACTGATTGGAATGCACCCAAACATGGCATGAATGTTCCTTATGAGGTGTTGACCAAGTGTTGTTACTTTGAAGCCGATCCATCATCCACGATGGCCGTCAGCAGGGGACTTAGTTTAACATAGCACCCAATTGACAATACATTTAAATGTCTTCTTTTAGAGAACCACTGAATGGAATGGAACCAAACATGGCATGAATGTTCCTTATGAGGTGCTGACCAAGTGTTGTTACTTTGAAGCCGATCCATCATCCAATATGGCCGCCAGCAGGGGACTTAGTTAAACAGCACCCTTAGGGAAATACATACAAATGTCTTCTTTTAGAGAACCACTGATTGGAATGCAACCAAACATGGCATGAATGTTCCTTCTGAGGTGTTGACCAAGTGTTGTTACTTTGAAGCCGATCCATCATCCAAGATGGCTGCCAGCGGGGAACTTAGTTAAACATAGGACCCTGAGGGAAATACATACAAATGTCTTCTTTTAGAGAACCACTGATTGGAATGCAACCAAACATGGCATGAATGTTCCTTATGAGGTGTTGACCAAGTGTTGTTACTTTGAAGCCGATCCATCATCCACGATGGCCGTCAGCAGAGGACTTAGTTTAACATAGCACCCAATTGACAATACATTTAAATGTCTTCTTTTAGAGAACCACTGAATGGAATGGAACCAAACATGGCATGAATGTTCCTTATGAGGTGCTGACCAAGTGTTGTTACTTTGAAGCTGCTCCATCATCCAAGATGGCCTCCAGCGGGGAACTTAGTTTAACATAGGACCCTAAGGGAAGTACATACAAATGTCTTCTTTTAGAGAACCACTGAATGAAATGAAACCAAACATAGCATGAATGTTCCTTATGAAGTGTTGACCAAGTGTTGTGACTTTGAAGCTGATCCATCAGCCAAGATGGCCTCCAGCGGGGAACTTAGTTTAACATAGGACCCTAAGGGAAATACATACAAATGTCTTCTTTTAGAGAACCACTGAATGGAATGAAACCAAACATGACATGAATGTTCCTTATGAGGTGCTGACCAATTGTTGTTACTTGAAAGCCGATACATCAACCAAGATGGCCGCCAGCGGGGAACTTAGTTTAACATAGGACCCTACGGGAAATACATACAAATGTCTTCTTTTAGAGAACCACTTAATGGAATAAAATCAAACATAGCATGAATGTTCCTTATGAGGTGTTGACCAAGTGTTGTTACTTTGAAGCCGATTCATCATCCAAGATGGCTGCCAGCGGGGAACTTAGTTAAACATAGGTCCCTAAGGGAAATACATACAAATGTCTTCTTTTAGAGAACCACTGATTGGAATGCAACCAAACATGGCATGAATGTTCCTTATGAGGTGTTGACCAAGTGTTGTTACTTTGAAGCCGATTCATCATCCAAGATGGCTGCCAGCGGGGAACTTAGTTAAACATAGGACCCTAAGGGGAATACATACAAATGTCTTCTTTTAGAGAACCACTGATTGGAATGCAACCAAACATGGCATGAATGTTCCTTATGAGGTGTTGACCAAGTGTTGTTACTTTGAAGCCGATCCAGTATCCAAGATGGCCGCCAGCGGGGAACTTAGTTTAACA